CAGAAGCCACCACAGTGTGCGAGCATGTGGTGGTCAGATGGGAGAGAAAGAGAAGTGGAGCAGCCTGAGCACTATGAAGAGAGCTGGAGCTGGAGACTCGAGGGTGGAGAGGAGGAGCCTGCTGTGAGTGGCACCATCACCTGGGGCCATGCTGAGGTCCCACTGAGGGCCACGTCTGAATCTGAGGCTACACCAGCTTCAGGGGTCAGTGTCAATGTCTGCGGCTCATATTACTACTAAAGAACATGGGGCTGTCCCTGGTCAAGGCAGCCACTGGGGACTATGTAGATGTCCAGGGTGTGTGTATCACTGGCCCCATACCTCACTGGACACAGCACTCTGGGGAGTTGGCCCTATCTCTTGTAGCACTCTGGAGAATGGGCCCTAAGCCTTGCCCATGTAGCACAGTGGAGCTCCTGAGTAGAAAGGAAGGGGTTGGGAAGGAGGGGGAGGAGATACCTACCCCCTTTCCCCACTCCCTTTCCCTTCACCACTTGCAGCAGTTGGGAAAGCTGGTCCTGGGGTCACGAGAGCCTATGAGCTGCCCCTGCCTCTCACTGGCTGCAGGCTGCAGCACTAGGGACAGTAGGCTCAGCACCTTGCTTAGGCAGACAGTAGAGCTGGCCCAGGTCTAGGGGACCAGTAAGCTAGTCTTGAAGACAGAGAGAGAGTTGGTCCACATATGGCAGTTGGGAGAACTGACCCTGGGGTCATGAGAGCTGGTAAGCTGGCCTTGCCCCTCACCGGCTGCAGCACAGTAGAGCTGGTTTTGGTGGAGAGGGCAGAGGTGAGCCAGCTCTCCAAGGGTGAGAATAAGGTGGTGTGGGTGCAGAGGTGATACCCTCCCCAACACCCTCTTGCCACCTGCAGTGGCAAGCTCTCTTGCTAGGAGAGCTAGCCCTATGTCTAGCCTGGGCAACACAGTGGAGCTGGTCCTGATGGCAAAGGTGCTGGTGAGTCAGCCCTAAGGGTGTGAGAGTGGTAGAGGCTGGCCCAGCCCCTCACCAGATGCAACACTTGGAGAGTGGGCCTGGAACCTTGACCGTAGCACAGTGGAGCTGGCTCTGGAGGTGCATGGCCCAAGGGCTGGAGAGATAAAAGACTCTGCCTCCTGAGGGCAGCATTGAGGAACCTAGCTGGAGCAGTGCTGGAGAGAGCACCCTGGTAATGCAGATAAGGCTGAGCAGCTAGCTTAGCTACCACCCAGGCCCAGATCCAGGGATCTCAACTGGCCCACCCCAAAATCTGTATCATCTGAAAATGGTTGGGACATGTGAAAGGGCCAGTCCTGCGGTTCCAAATCTGCAGGATCCGACACAGGATAAATGAGAGGCATCCCGATGAGGACCCAGTATTGATGGTGTCACAGAAGCCAGGGATCTTGAACCAGACCAATGACTCATTTCAATGAACATTTGCAAGTGAAGATGTGTGGACAGAGGGACATACTGTGGGATACACTGGGATATACTATAGCTTTCATAATGATTTTCTATGTTTTTTTTTTTTAATTGTTGTCTGTGTTTTTTTATTTTGGGGCGAGGATGCAAGGACAAAGGGCAGATATGGGGGGACAGGGAGATGAGTAGGCCTGGGGTGCACATTGTGAAACTCACAAAGAATCAATAAAAAGTAAAACAAAACAAAACCCAACTTGACAGGAATATAGACTCAGAATGTAGATACTAAGTATTGCATTGATGTAATTTCCTAAAGCTACACACAACACTCTCACTTCTTGGTTGTTGAAACAGTGTTACACCGGGCGGTGGTGGTGCAGGCCTTTAATCCCAGCACTTGGGAGGCAGAGGCAGGAGATTTCTGAGTTCGAGGCCAGCCTGGTCTACAGAGTGAGCTCCAGGACAGCCAGGACTACACAGAGAAACCCTGTCTCGAAAAACCAAACCAAACCAAACCAAACCAAACCAAACCAAACCAAACCAAACCAAACCAAAAAACTGTACACTAACATGCCCAGCCCAGGAATGAACTACAGATTGAATTCAACTATATGGAAAGCATTAGTTCACAAGAACATTCAAATTCAAAATACTCTTCTCAGAGAATGAATGAAGATGATAACACTGCTCTGTAAAAGCAGCAAGAGGCCGGTTGTGGTAGTGCACACAGGTAGGATTTGCTGAAGGATGCAGAGGCAGGAGGATCACGAGTTTGAGGCCAGCCTGGGCTATACATTTTGCCGGGCAGTGCCAAGGCCAGCCTGGTCTACAGAGTGAGTTCCAGGACAGCCAGGGCTACACAGAGAAACCCTGTTTCAAAAAACTAAAAAAAAAAAAAAAAAAAGCAAGAGAGTAAGGCTGAAAAGCTCACATCTTCTTAAAAACTGATGTCACATTGACACAGGTCACTAAAACACCCAGCCAATCACATCGCCGCTCCTCACTTACCCTCTCCTGTCACCTGTTCTCTCCCACTCATTGCTTATGAAACAGCAGAGAACATAAAAGAATCACATTATATACACTGTATGAAACAAAAATACCCTATCTACTCCACCCCTCCCCAAGTAAAAAATAACCATACTTTGTTCTATTACTGACAGAGATGGCCCTTAGAGAATATCAAAATGAAAAACTTATAATGTGAATCATCTTCATTTCAGAAGAAAGTATATAAAATGCAAATATAAGAGGAATACTTCAAGGGCTGGTGAGATGACTCAGCAGTTAAGAACACTTACTGTTCTTCCAGAGGAGTGGTTTGATTCCCAATACCCACAAGGTGGCTCACAACCATCTGTGACTCCAGTTCTAAGGTGTACTGGCTAATTTTATGAAATCTGCTACAAGCTAGAGTTACCTGAGGGAAAGCAGCCTCAAATGAGAAAATGCTTCTGTAAGATGGCACTGCAGGTAAGCTTGTAGATCATTTTCATAATTAGGGATTGATGTGGGAAAGCCAGCCCATTGTGAGTAGTGCCACCCCTCAGCTGGTGGCCCTTGATCTATAAGAAAGTAGGCTGAGCAAGCCAGGAAGAGTAAGCAAGTCAGCAGCACTCCTCAATGGCTCCTGCATCAGCTCCTGCCTCCAGGTTCCTGTCCTGTTTGGGTTTCTGTCCTGACTGTCCTTCCTTTGATGATGAACAGTGATATGGAAGTATAAGCCAAATAGACTTTTTTTTCCCCAAGTTGCTTTGGTCATGGTGTTTCACCATGGAAATAGTAACCCAAACTAAAGCCCAAACCAACTCTTTCCTGACCTCAGCAGACACCAGACATAGACATACATGTAGGCAAAATATCCATTATATATAAAATAAATATTTTAATGTGGGGAAAAAGGACACCTTTGCTGGGTATGTTAGCTTAAATATGCTTGGGCCAGGGAATTGCACTATTAGGAAGCATGGCCTTGTTGGAGGAAGTGTGTCACTGTAGGGGTGGGCTTTGAGGCCCTCCTTCTAGCTACTTGCAAGACAGTCTTCTATTTGTCTTTTGGAACAAGATGCAGAACTCTTAGTTCCTCCAGCATCATACTTGCCTGGATGTTATGCTTCCTGCCATGATAATAATGGACTTAACCCCAGAACCTGTAAACCAGCCCTAATTAAATATTGTCCTTCATAAGAGTTGCAGTGGTTATAGTCTCTTCACAGCAGTAAAACTCTAGCTAGGATACTGGATATAGTGGCAACAACAGTCTGATCCCAGCCCTTTGGAAGACTAAGTCAAGAGAACTGCAAATCGGAAGCCACTGAGCTACATAGTTGAGACTGTTTCAAAGAGAGAGTCTCTGTTGCCAGGCAGTGGTGGCGCATGCCTTTAATCCCAGCACTTGGGAGGCAGAGGCAGGCGGATTTCTGAGTTCAAGTCCAGCCTGGTCTACAGAGTGAGTTCCAGGACAGCCAGGGCTACACAGAGAAACCCTGTCTCGAAAAACCAAAAAAAAGAGAAAAAACTCAAATACAATATTATCTCAATTTGTTAGATAATCTGTGTAATTTATTATATCAATAGCCATATGGGAAAAAGTTTGCTCACTTAGGTCTTTCAGACCCAAGGTTTGTTGACTCTCTGCTTTATATTCTGTCTATACCTTAAATAACAGCTGTAATTTCACAAAGAAATAATTACTATATGAAAATAATTTCAGTTTGGGACAGGCAAGAACATTGACAACACTTTAAAATTTAAAACTTTCAACAGCAAGCAGCAGAGTTCAATGGAAATAAAATTATGTTCTAATATATGTTATTATTACTCTCTATGGGGCTGCATTAATGCTTTCAGGAGTACAACTGTTTGTGCATTAAGCTTTGACGATGTTCTCTCTGTAACAAAGACAATTTAAGGCAAACTTAGCTGAACTTTGGAAAGGCTCATTAACTGCTACCTTACAGAATTAATTCAGGGGTCACAGATGAACAAAGCCAGTAACATTTACTGACTGCCAGCCAACAGCACAGACAGCCTTCAACAGATATATAATCTAGTTGTACAGTTTCTTCTGGTCAAGAAAGTGCTATAAAATTTATTATCATACTCTATATCAGTGGTTCTCAACCTTCCTAAAGCTGGACACAACCCTTTAATTCAGTTTCTCATGTTGTGGTGACCCCCCAACCATAAAATTATTTTCATTGCTATTTCATGACTGTAATTTCTCTGTTATGAATCATAATGTAAATATCTGTGCTTTCCAATGGTCTTAGATAACCACTGGGCAGGGGTCATTTGACACCCCCCTCTCAAGTCGCAAACTAGGTAAACCATGTAAAGAAATGAAAAATGTGTTACCTAATAAATCTGACTAATGAAGTAAATTCATCCAAAGGACTCTCTCTCATTCTCTGTCTCATACATTTGCACACATTCCACACCACCATCATCATGTTAATTTCACATTTCTTAGGCTATATTAAAATAATGTTACTCTAGGCACCTTTCAAACTTAATTCTAACATTCTTAAATCTATAATGAGTAAAAGCAAAGGCTAACAGAAAGAAAAATCAATGTACATAACTCATAAAGATGGTTACCTGGTAGTCTGGTTTTGTAAAATAATCCAAAGAGGAAATATGGTCAAGAAAGGTGCTGAATTCTGGAGGGAGGTGTTTCAGCATGAGCCTGTGGTCATACCTCTCCTTAATGGAGCCTACTTGCTCCTGCAAGGTAAAAAGAACAGGAACAAAAGTCAGCTTTTTTCGGAAGCCATGGATTACACGCTGACAATTAACAACATCAGAGTGGAGCAGGCTATGGAATCAATGTGCTATAAAGTACAAAGTGAGGGTCAGTGCTCACTAACGGCTTTACACACAGTGCTGCAAAATGAGAAGGGAAGACAGTATAATGCAGAGCTAACATTAACATGGAGTCTGTGCCCGTCAACTGCTAGCCCCTAAGAGTTCTTTAAACTGGGTCTACTATCCTTCATCAACATAGTATTTCTAGTTTTCCAAACAAAATAAGCTAATAATTAAAAAATAAAATCTACAATTCACATCAGAAGAAATTCTGTTCTTACAAAATGTATCCTCAATATACATAAAAAATCATAATTATCTCTCTAATATCAGTTCACAGAAAGAAATGTATATATTGTAATATAATGAAGTTGCTCAGAGTTTAATTTCATATATAAGTGGATTTCCTTAAAAACTTGAAGTAGGGTTTACAACTAAACTAATACTCAAATATAAGAATTATATACCTATGTGAGGGGTATGTGTGATTTTTTTTTTTTATAGTGCTAGGAATTAAGTCCAGGAACTTACACATGCTAGGGATACTGTGCCACTAAATCACATCCTCGTCTGGTCTGCATGATCTCTCAATACAAGAAGCCATTATATAGTATTTACTAATTATATTTTCTTTTTCTTTTTTTTTGAGACAGGGTTTCTCTGTGTAGCCCTGGCTGCTGTCCTGGAACTCACTCTGTAGACCAGGCTGGTCTCAAACTCAGAAATCCACCTGCCTCTGCCTCCCAAGTGCTGGGATTAAAGGCGTGCGCCACCACCACCCAGCTTCTCTAATTATATTTTCAATGAAGAAATTTTGTTTAGTTTTGGTTTTTTGTTTTTCAAATAAGAGTTTCTCTGTGTAGCCCTGGGTGTGCTGTTCTGAAACTCACTTCATAGACCACACTGGCCTTAAACATACAGAGAGTTCTTTAAAGGATCTACTATCCTTCATCAACATAGTATTTCTAGTTTTCCAAACAAAATAAACTGGTAATTAAAAACTAAAAGTTACAATTCACATCAGAAGAAATGCTGCCTCTGCCTCCTGAGTACTAGGATCAAAGGCGTGCACCATCAATTGCCTGGATTAAGGATAAATATTTATTCTTTCCCCTATCAAAATTGACCTTATGATTCAAAATTACCTTGTCCTTTATTTTCCTCCAAGGCAGTTGACCAACCACAAACTCCACCAACATGTAGAATAAAGACCAAAGGTCATCATGTCTCCCCATTTCCTTGAGAAATAAAAGAGAATTCATTCATATTATATTACCAATTCTTCTGAGTGCATCACATTGCTTAAAGCCATTAAATATACTTCCTATAAATATCATCTGGTAAACATCTGTATGTCTGCATAGGTACATATCAATCCAAATGCACAATATATATACCAAGAAATGTTTTGATATAAATATCCTACCTAGAGATGTATTTCATTGGTAGAGTACTCGTTGAGTATGTGCAAGACCTTGGGTTATATTCCCAACACCACAAAACCCAGCCACCGCCAAGAAGCAAAAACAACATAGGCTGGATGAGACGCACACAGTTAGAGGAATAACTGCCTAACATGCATAAGGCCCTGGGGTCTGATACCCAGTACCACATAAAACAGGGTGAGGCAGTGCATGCTATAATCCCTGGACATGGGAGGAAGATGAGGGATCAGAAGTTCAAGGCCATCCTTCCTATTTAGTAAGTTTGAAGCCAGCCTAAAACTTAAAGAGATCCTATCTCAAAAATCAACCAATAAAAAAACCCCTCTAAAACCAAGAAATGCTGACAATTCAATTAATAATTTACTAATTAATAGTGCTTTAAGAAGTAAGGGATGCTGGGTGGTGGCGGCGCATGCTTTTAATCCCAGCACTTGGGAGGCAGAGGCAAGCGGATTTCTGAGTTCCAGAGTTCGAGGCTAGCCTGGCCTACAGAGTGAGTTCCAGGACAGCCAGGGCTACACAGAGAAACCCTGTCTCGAAAAACTAAAAAAAAAAAAAAAAAGGTAAGGGAAAGGGCTGGAGAGGTATCTCAGAGGTTAAGAGCACCGAATACTCTTCCAGAAATCCTAAGTTCAATTCCCAGCAACCACATTGTGGCTCACAACCATCTGTAATGGGATCTGATGCCCTCTTCTGGTGTGTCGGAAGACAGCTACAATGTGCTCAAATAAATAAATAGATCTTAAAAAAAAAAAAAGAAGAAGAAATAATAGGAATGTAGCTCAATGGTAGACTATTTGCCTACCAAGAAAAAGGCCCTAGACTTCACTGCCGGCATTGCAAAATTTTTATTAATTCACTTATTTATTAATTTTTAAAATTTTGTCAACTTTTTAAATAAAAATGTTGCAAATAAAAGAATTCACACCCAAAGTAACCAGATCCAAAGACAATTTCTAAAAATAAAGATAAGAGTAATCCTAAAAGAATTATTTTTTCTTTCACTCAGAAATAAGAAAAAATAATGCTATATGGGCTTTTGTTTGCAGTGTGGGGTTTAAACCATGATAGTTAAAAGCTTTAAAACTGAGTTATAGGGCTGGAGAGATGGCTCAGTGGTTAAGAGCACTGACTGCACTTCCAGAGGTCCTGAGTTCAAATCCCAGCAACCACATGGTGGCTCACAACCATCTGTAATGAGATCTGATGCCCTCTTCTGGTGTGTCTGAAGACAGCTACAGTGTATTCATATATAATAAATAAAAAAATCTTTAAAAAAAAAAAAAAAAAAAAAAAAAAAAAAAAAAAAAAAAAAAAAAAACTGAGTTATATGTCCATGCCTTGTTACAAAAAAGAAAGGGCTTGATGCAAAAAAATTATTATATATTATAAAGAAAACAATCTCTGCATTCCATTAGACACTGACAGTATTATATCCACTATTAACTGTTTTCCCTCTCTGTTTGAGATGTGTGTGTGCTTGTGTAGGTCCTTATGTGCCATGGTAAGCATGCACAATCAGATAACTTGCTGGAGTTAGTTCTCTTCATCTACTATGTGGATTCCAAACATCAAACTCAGGTCGTCTGGATAGGCAGTTAAGTATCTTTACCTGATAAGCCATTTCAATGGCCCCACACCACAAATAATTTCTTAGACCAGAACTCAGGTATTTTATTTCTTCAAACATCTATAGTAAATGTGTAACTATGAAAGGGACACTCAGCTCCTGAGCACTTTTTATGCCTTTGAACTAAACTATGAAGATGTTGGTCTAATGCAAGCCATGAACATGCAGCTATAAAGACCCTGGATTAGATACATACCCTGTTCCGATGAGCATTGATTGATGCATAACGAACTGTCCCTCGAAAGCCTGCCACAGCACGAGGCTACAATAAACCACACAGTAATAAAAACTTAAACAGCAAAACATTTTTTAACACAGATGAACACATAAAGCATTGATAGAATATTACTATCATAATAAAATGTTATTTATAGTAATCTTATAGTGAAGCTAGAGAACAAATATCTCTAAGTCACAACTTAAAACATTTATGTTTTGCCGGGCGGTGGTGGCGCACGCCTTTAATCCCAGCACTTGGGAGGCAGAGGCAGGCGGATTTCTGAGTTCCAGAGTTCGAGACTAGCCTGGTCTACAGAGTGAGTTCCAGGACAGCCAAGACTACTCAGAGAAACCCTGTCTCGAAAAACCAAAAAAAAAAAAAAAAAAAAAAAAAACCCACTTATGTTTTAGTTATTTTACTTTGGTCCTCTTCTATCTATATCTTTAATTTCTATCTATTTGTTATTTATTTATTTGTTTGTTCGTTTGTTTATTTATTGAGAGAATGAGTGTGTGTGTGTGTGTGTGTGTTTGTGAGGGGGGAGGGAGGGAGAGACAGACAGACAGACAGACAGACAGACAGACATTCAGGGCAGGGGATGACAAATACGACAATGTGAGTGCGGATGCCAGAGGACAAGCTGCTTTAGGAACTGGTTCTCTCCTTCCACCATAAGGTCCTGAGGGTTGAACTTAGCTCATCAAGCTTGATGACAAGTGCCTCTCTTTGCTGATAAAGCCATCTCATAGGCTCATTCATCTACATTTTAAAAGTATGATGACATGATCGGCATTGAACTTGGAAGATGTAGCTCAGTGACAGTACAATTGCCTTCTATGTGCAAGGTTTTTGGTTTGATACCAAGAAATACACACACACCGTCGGATAGATGTGTTTATGAAATATACACAGCTCTGTACATTAAAAAAAATCAAATGTTTTCATTGACCTAGAATCATGCCAAGTAACAAAATCATAGCATACACATTAACACATGGGTACAAATAAGTGTAAGAATATGAAGAATCACTATATAACCTGAAATACCAATTTCACCATATCTTGAGTACTTTATTCAAACTTAATTTGAAAGAAGTTGTAACTGTACTTTGCCTGCACAAGCAATTTATGTCACCATATTTGGATGCTTACATTAGATAATGCAGGTGAAGCTAGTCACGAGCATGGCCTCGGGCAATGGACACCAAGTAAAGACCACATGTTACTTGGCTTACACGACTTTCTCTATCTTGCCTTCTTAAATCTACTATAGTTTCTTCTACCACCAATTTTTTTCTAGCTCAAAACTTTACGCTTGCTTTTCTTCAGACTGTCACCTCAATTCCTGTTTCTTGTGGCTAGCTCTTGTAACTAAAACCTCTGCTTAGAGCAGGTACCTACTCAGAAGTATTAATCGTCCTAATGTAGAACATAACTCCTTGCTTGCATTCTTTCACCTAAAGAAAAAGACACTTAAACACAAGAAGTATTATGAACTTCATATAGACATGTACGGAGAAGAAGCTCTTTTGGCATATCCCAGTCAAGATGTCAAATATACAAAGTGTTATGTTCAGCTGTGGTTTTCTGTGAGGTTCTCCATTTGCTATAAAGAGAAGCTTCTTTGATGAGGAGTGGTAGCTACACTTATCCATGGGCCTAAGGACAAGATTTAGAATGCAATAAAAAGGGTTGCTGGTCTAGCAAAGTGGCAGTAATCAATTCTTTTTTTAAAGGTCCACAGCCTCACTAGCCCAGGAAACTGACTAGGTTTCCAGTACTGGGAATGATTTCGATTTCTTTCCTGTTGAGTGGGCCTTAAGTCCAATTAGGCGGTTGTTGGTTGCCACTGACATGTGAGTGCCAATTCTCACACCTTTATGCATATCTTGCCATGATGGTGATTGCTGTGGTTCATGGTGTTGCAGTTGGGTAGGACTGTTTAATTGTTTCCCTCCCTTGGCAGCTTGCATTGTAATTTTTGGAGCCATGGAAGGGACTAGGGATTAAGACTAGAGATTAATAGTGGGAATCCCAATCTCAGCAGACGTATCCTCATCACAGCTTCTACAGCTATGGCTCATGGAGTATCATGGAAGGGTCAGAATACCAGTAAGTAGGCTGTGAAACAGCCCCTTATAAAGATGGCTACATAAATAAGACTGGAACAAGAGCAACATCAATGGGTATATTAAAGCGGAATGGGAATATTTCACGGGGTTCCCACCCCAGACAACGAACTAAAGGCAACTACTGACTGCTCACCTAGGGATGAGCCCCTAACTGGCCATCCAATGCAGAGTGGCCAGACTTGAGGCCATAGTCACACAAACAACAAAAACAGATTCGACGGACTGTGTACACATATACACATGTATGTGACAAATATAATAAAAGAAAAAGAGGCTATCTCAAGGCTACCCTTGAGCAAGGGTTAAGGGAGAACAGCTGGCAGGGTCTGAAGGAAGAAAGAAAGAAGAGATGTGAAGTAAGCCTCTTTCAATTAAAAACATTTTTTAAAAAATTCATAAAAAAGAAACACAAAGAAAAACAACTGCCAGGCAGTGGTGGCATATGCCTTTAATTCCAGCATTTGGGAAGCAGAGGCAGGTGGATTTCTGAGTTCGAGGCCAGCATGGTCTACAGAGTGAATTCCAGGACAGCCTGGCCTATACAGAGAAACCCTGTCTCGAACCCCCCCCCCCAAAAAAAAAGCTATAATGAAAAATGCCAACTGATAGAGACAGAATCATAATAACATTCAAAACATTGAAAATGCTAAAAGCAAACACAGGAGAAACACTTCAGGATATAGATACAAGCATAGGAAATAGTCCCAAGAACTGGCACATGGGTAACACAGGTAACTTGAAACCAAAAGGCTTCTGCACAGCAAAGGAATGATCCACGCAAAGAACAGACACCTACAGAGTGAGAAAACAATCTCTGCAGCCATACCTCAAACAAAGGGCTAACATTTTGACTACATAAAGAATTACAAAAATATTAAGTGAAAAAATTCCTACTTGCCAATCAATAAATGGGGCAATACTCTTTACAGACAGCTTTCAAAAGAACTGAAAATGGCAACAGGTATTTTAACGAGTGTCTAATATGGGGCTGTGAGGTGGCTCAGCAGTTAAGAATACTGGCTGCTCAGAACCCATATGTCTGCTCAAAACTGTCAATTCCAGTTCTAGAGAATCTACACCCTCTTTCTGGCCTCTGTGGTCACAAGGCAGGCATGTGTTATACATACAAGAGGCAAAACATCCACACAAATACAATGGAAATAAAAGTTTTTTAAAGTGTACCTGTAGCCATCATAGAAATGTAAATTAAAAAGACTCTGAGATTCTATCTTACCTCAGTAAGAATGACACCATCAAGAAAACAAAGACAACATAGGCTGGCAAGGGTTGTGGGGAGTGAGGGGAGAAAGAGGAACCCTTTATCTACTGTTGGTGGGAATGTAGTCTATTACAGCCACTATAGAAATCAGAAACAAGCTTCCACCAAAACCAAAATTAGAACTACCAGATGACCCAGCTAATTCATTCTTAGGCATATATCCAAAGGATTCAACATGCTACTCATATGTTTCAGTCTGTCCTTACATTTACTTTGTAGCTGAGAAGAACCTTGAACTTCTGATCCTCCTCCCAAGTGCTGGATCACTACCATGCCTGGCCTACATAATGCTTGGAGTCAAAACCAGGTTCTCATTGATCTACTAAAACATTCTTGCAGAAGTCAACAGTCAGTTCTCAGTGCCCAGTCACTTCTCTGTAATACCTAACAGGAATGACAACCTTACCATTGTTCATGAAGAACTTTCTTCACCTGGTTTCCAAGACAGTACTACTCTCTTGATTTTCCTCTTACATGACTGACATTACTTCTCATAGGTCCTGGCTGGTCCACGGTTTTTCCCTATCTATCACCAACACTGCTCGAAGTGTCCCAATGGCTCAGACCCAAGACCTCCTTCCCACTCTAGCTATACCTTCTTCCTAGGTAATCTTAACTAGTTCTTTTTTTTTTTTAAATGCTGCCCCCACATCTGGATCCAATGATTGAACCAAGGTCTAAGTTGACCACATTGCCCTTGAGTTTACTCTGTAGTCCGGAACAGAAATATTTTGAAATCCTTCTGCCAGCCAGGCAGTGGTGGTGCATGCCTTTAACCCCAGCACTTGGGAGGCAGAGGCAGGTGGATTTCTGAGTTTGAGGCCAGCCTGGTCTACAGAGTGAGTTCCAGGACAGCCAGGGCTACACAGAGAAACCCTGTCTTGAAAAACAGAAACAAAAAAACAAAAAAACAAAAAACAAAACAAAAAACCTTCTGCCTCAGCCTCCCATGGAATTACAGGCCACTGCAATTAGGTCCAGCTAAAGAAACTTAATCTACTTCTTTTTACTTAGCTTTGTTTCTAGATAGCCTCATAGCTTTGTTTTCATATTTTATTTAATTGCTGATATATTATCTCCTTAGAGGTCTTTCTCTCTAATCTAAACCTCCAAAATTATTTCTGTCCTCTGCCCAGCTCTATGTCAACACACAGAATTCTCTGTGTTATCACTGTACAAAATTATAGATTTAGGCCAGCTATGGTATAAATGTCTTCCATTTCAAGCACTTTAGAGGCCTGGGGTAGAAGAAAAAGATCAAGTTTGAAATCAGCCAAGGCTACATACTGAAAACCAGTCTCAACAATAAATAAATAAAATTTCTTATTTGTGTGTCATCTTTCTTTTCTACTAAAGTAACCTTAGCAAGGCTCTTGAAATTTTCTACCTATTATTGTTGCCTCAGTACCTTGATTGATGATTCATATATAATATATGCTCATTAAATACGTTTTATGAGTAAATCAACAATACCTTGATAATGTTCTAGAAACTAAACACCTAATATCTAGAAATGGAATTCAATGTATATCTAAGTCTAATAGGCTATAAATTGATCACTTGCTTTGCTAATATTAATACAAGCCATTACTATGGTTGAAAAAGGTTCTCTAAATTACCAGGCACATAAGATTCTCATATTCAATGCATACCTTTGACCCTAGCATTTGAGAGGCAAAGGCAGGCAGATCTCTGTGAGTTCAAGGCCAGTATGATCTATAAAGTGAGTTCCAGGAAAGCCAGAGCTACATAGTGAGACCCTGTCTCAAAAATATTCTAAAAGAAAAAAAGATTCTCATATGCCTAGACTTTAATTATAATTTTGCATATATGTATGCATAACTAGTTTGTACTTGGCTCAATCAAAATCAAAATGTTTTAACAAGTAGTTAACCTGATAGAAATGAAAATCACAATGAAAACCCAAGGTTAAATGAACTAAAAGTTTAAAGTAAACAACAGAAAAGTCACAATGGGAGATGAAGTACCAGCAAAACAATATGGAGAGTTGCCTGGCCCACTTCCCAGTTGGAAGTTGGTAAGCATTAGTTAAAAACAAAACATGCAAGCTCCTAGATATAGCTTTAAAGGCAAACAAATTAAATACTTTCAAGAAAATTTGTGAACATCCAATAAGAAAGATAAGGGTCTGTGGTATTCAAACCAAGACTGCTCTCTCCCATCACCTAGCTTGACTAAAGTGACTCCATTCCAAGTTGCTGCAGTCAGGAACATATGGCTAAATTCCCCATCAAGGCCCCATCAAGGGGTTCCCTTTTGAGAAGGTGCAGGACTGGAGCATGTTCCAGCTTGCTTTATCAGCCTGCTGGTGAAGAGATGAAGGTGTGCTTGGTGCACTACATCTGAAAGACTTTCTCCTGACAAGACTCTAGCTAGACTCCCTCTCAAGTCTCTTCTCAAGTTGGCCTTGATTAAAGGGCATCTGTGTTTGTCTTTGCTGGTCTAGTTTTGGAAAAAATCTTAAGAGGTTAGTTTAATAAAAACCCTCTACTTGGACTTTTGATCAAATTCCTCATGTCCATCTCTCTATTTCATCATTCTGGTATGTGCCTTCAGCATACTTTGAACCATACGCAAGTTCACCAGAGAAGAACTTTCTCCTATGTATCACAAACCATTTTGCTAATACATCACAAAGTTAAAACTGAAGCCCCCTACTGATTAAATGCAGCTAACTCTAGACTCTAGTTTCTTAACCTTATAATTTACTAATCTGGCTTCAACACAAACATCTGTTTTTTTTTAATTCACTGAACTTCATCCCCTCCTCCTATCATTCATTCTGATACATAATTAACATTTCTTTAAAGTGGTACTAGAAATAATAGTTTATCAAATATTAGATAGTAATGAAAAAGCTTACTGGTCTGACGTCACCACAGGAATTGGTAAATTGTCGGGCCAAGCCAAAATCAAGCATAAAACATTTCCTACACGTACTGGGAAAGCGTCCCATGGCGAAGTTTGACTAGAAAAAAATAAAGATGGAAAATACATATTGTAATAAATCAGTCTGCCTATATTTTACCCTTCATGTTTATAGCACATTTCAGATACACTACTGTAAGTCTATAATTTTTAACTAGGCATTAATATATAGTATAATTTGGTTGCTGGTTCTACCTCTCAAGGGAAAATTAAAGTTTTTCATACTTGAGTGTTATTATAAATACAATTAGTGACTTGAGAAAGAGTTGTTAATGTCTACCATCACAGAAACTGAGCAAAAATAAATTTAAATGTTTTTATAGTTACATATAATGATCTAATTAAAATCAGAACTAGAATCCCTTGAAATTCTAGTCTATGTTACTGCTTAAGTGACGACCCAACCTCCTACACAAGGAAAGCTAGGGATGGGGAAAATGAACATTAACCTAAAAGAATTTGTATTGTTTCTCAATCTTTAGTTAAGTATAAGTGCTAGTCATGATGGTGTATACCTTTAATTCCAATATTAAAGTCAGAGGCTGGGCTGATCTCTGTAAATTCAAGGTCAGCCTGGTCTATATAGCACGTTACAGTGTAACCCTAACTTAATAAATAAGCAAACACGCAAGAAAATTTCCTATATGAATCATAAAGCTGAGTCACACTAAACTTAAAAATACAATTCAGGGAAACATTCCAAAATAGACCAAGGAAAAAACATTTTACATTTTTCTCTTAAAAAAAAGAAATTCAGTGTAGCCAGGTATGATGGTATATCCCTTTAATTCCAGTGTTCAGGAAACAGAAACAAGCCTTAGTTACATTATTCCCTATCTCAAAGCAAAAAATAAAACAGCCTCAAAATCTAAAGGCTATGTAATGTGTCAAATGACCGCATTTGGAAAGATAAATATGCAAATAAAGGAATTTGTAATGGTAAAACGCAAGCTATTATATCATTGTTTTTTTTTAAAGTATTATTTTACTTTGGAGCTTTCTGATGAAATGGAAAGTTAAGTTTTTCAAATACTGACAGCAAAAGGCATTGAATGACAGTAAAGTACTCTATAACCGTAAAGATGGCTCTACACTGCCACGCTGTGACCCTTTCCTACTTTACTCTCCCCATATAGCAGCTGACCGGAAATAAATCACTTCATCATGCTGTTTTACTTAAATGTCCTATTAGATAATAACCAGTTTCTAGTTTCAGAGTGGTTCTAATTCCAAAAGAAGAACCCACTTTGAAGAAATTTAGTTTCCATTTTCATGTAAGCTAATTTTAGAAATGATATAATTAACAGGTGGCTATATTTTTCAAATGTACCAACATCAATTAAATTTATAAATGTGGGATATCAGAAATGGGTCATCTTTCATTATGAAGAATAAAATACCAGATAAAAAGGAAGAAAAGCATACTTTAGTAATGGAGACAATGATTTCTAAGAAAACCAAAACGGAACAAAAAAGGGGAAAACAAATCCTATTTCCACAGTAGCCCTTAAGAGAAGGTCTTGACAAAATGAATAACTGGAATCAGAAAACACACAACTCAAGCTAATGATTTATATGTAAGGCTGAATAATTAGCAATGCTAATACACCTAATAATAACTGGCAAGCACACAATTTGTGCGACTGTGCGTGTGGGGACCAAGGACAACCTCAGGCACAGTTTCTCAAGCAGGCTACAGTTGGTGGGCCAAGCAAGCCCCAGAAATCCTATCTCCCTGTTCAGCACTTTGAGTACTACCATACACCACCATTTATAAAAAACAAAAAACAAAAAACAAAATCAAACATGGGTTCTAGGGATTGAACTCAACACTCAAGTCCTCAGTACTTTAACAACTGAGCCATCTCCTAGCCCCCAAGCATAAAATATTTTTAATTTAGCTGGCAAGCAATATTTTATGGTATGAGAAAAGCTATTGAAAATAAGCTGTAGCTTCAAAAAAAAAAAACCCTAAGAGATAAATTACTTTTACTTTTAGGGCATTATGGAAATAAAAGTATTATCTGTATTTAACAACAACATTTACAGAAAACTACATTTACCATACATTTTGTCTTCTACTAGCATTAGAAATACCAAACAATAGCCTTACATGCTTGGAATAGAAAAGGCCCCTACCGGTTTGATGTCTCTGTGAAGGAATCCCACAGAATGTATACTTTCAATAGACTCCAGAATCTGTTTCCCAAGACGAAGAGTAGTGCTAATAGTGAATGTGCCCCGGGATTGGCTACGCCGAAGATCTGCCAGATTCCGACCCTATGGAATCAGATAAAATACAGTCTTAGTCTTGTGATAATGCCTAGAAAACTGACCGTTCATTGTAAAATACCACATTATAAAATGCTCTGACTGAAACAGCAAAGCTCTTGCGTAAGGTGTGTGCCATGGACCACCCCAGTCGGGTATGGGAGTCCCTGGGATGAGGGTCCTCGAAGGCTAGGTGGGTAAGGACTTGGCGGTGACAAACAGAAACACAGGGGCAGTTTGAATCTGAGTGTATTGTGCAGCTCTCAAGCAAGGGCTCTTGTACATAGAAAAATCAAGTATTACAGCTGCTAGGAGATGTATACAGGAAAGCAATCACCAAAGCACAAGAGTCATCCAAGCAGATCAACTCTAAAAAGATATATTCAATAAATCACAAATAGAACAGGTAACATTATTATTATTATTTGACACAATAAAAATCATTCAAGTATTACAACTCTAAAAGGATGTATTCAGTGGGGCAGTCATCCAAGGCTGGTGGCAGATCTCCAAGAGAAGGTCAATTCATCTTTATAATCAACTATTATTTAACATCTAATACCTGATATTTTATAAATCTTCAACACACAAATTTAAACTATTTTAATTCTTCTTATTTAAGGCTTTTTTTTTTACCATATACCAAAGCCCTCCTCCAATGACACACGTGTAGCCATACTGAAATTTTATTATTGTTTTATTGTAGCCATATGAAGTTTTATTTATAATACTATTATGTAGCTTTGTAAATGATTACAAAGTAAAGCGTCAGTTTCCCTGGAGGCAAGATCATGTTAGTGACTCCATCTCAACGGATGATTTCTTACCCATTTTCTTTGCTTAAGATCTTGGCGTAGGCTATCAGGAACATGTTGTAAATAAGAAAAGTTATAAGAGAAACTAAAACGGGTAAGTTGCCATGAGAGCTATAGCTCAATGTTTTGTTCCTGGCAAGAGTTCCACAACCAGTCCCAGGAGGCCCCCCTTCTTTTGAAGTTTTCACCTCAGTCTGTGGAACTTGTCACACAGATTCTACTGGGGTTGGTGTGGCAGGTGTGATCTTCTAATTCAAAGAATATGGTCTAATCACCAAAATGACAATAAGCATTTTCTCAGAAGGGCTCAAGCAAGGTTCAATCCCACTTGTGAGGGAGAAGAAAACAATTATAGAAGGCAGAGGGAGGGAGGGACCTAGAAGGGAGAGGGGAGGAAAAAGGGAAAGGGGAACATGTTCAGGTATGGTGGGGGAAGATAGGAGAGATGCCTTGAGGGCCAGCAGAATGAATGGTAATATGCAACCTGGGTGGGTGGGTGGGGACCCTTACCAGAGACCCGGGAGGTGAGAGACTCTTAGAACTCAAAAGAAGTGACCTTAGGGGAAATGCCCAACAGTGGGGAGAGGGAACTCGTAGAGCCCACCTCCAGTAGAAAGACAGGGCATCAAGGGGAGGGATGAGGTTGCCATTCCATAGTCAAAAACTCTGATCCAGAATTGTTCCTTTCTAAAAGAACTGCAGGGACAAAAATGGAGAAGAGGCTGAGGGAAAGGTGGTCAGGACCAGTCTAACTTGGGACCCATTCTCAAGGGGAAGCATCAAGGCCTGACACTATTACTGATGCTGTGGTGTGCTTACAAACAGGAGCCTAGCATGGCAGTTCTCCAAGGGGCCCAATAAGCAGCTGAGTGAGACAAATGCAGATACTCACTCCCAACCATTGGACTGAAGTTGGGGGCACCTGTGGTTGAATTAGGGAAAGGCTGGAAGAAGCTGAGGAAGAGGGTGACCCCATAGGAAGACCAGCAGTCTCAACTAACCTGGACCCCTGAGATCTTTCAGACATTGAGCCACCAGCCAGGCAGCATACAGGAGCTGGTCTGAGGCCCCCGACACATATACAGCAGAGGGCTGCCTGGGCTGGCCTCGGTGAGAGAAGATGCACCTAACCCTCAAGATACTTGAGGCCTTGGGGAGAGGATGGACATCTTCTTGGAGACAGGGGGGAGGAGGAATGGGATGAGGAACTGTGAGAGGGTAGACCTGGAAGGGGGCAATGACTAGACTATAAAACAACAAAATAGATAAAAATTAATTAAAAAATTAGTCAAGTGTGATGTGATCAAAGTATCCAGGGGCAAAAATAGTTTGAACACTTTTGTTTGTAACTGGAATCCACATTTGCTGATCATTGCAGTGGAAGTGACATAGATAAATAAATATATATAAAAAAAAGAATAAGCATTTTCTGTAAAAAAAAAAAAATCTATCTGTCTCTGTCTCTCTCTCTCTCTCTCCCCCTCTTTCTCTCCCCCCTCTTCCCCTCCCCCCCCTTTATGTACATGACTAGGAGTGCCCTTGGAAACAAGAAGACTACATCTGATCCCCTGAAGCCGGAGTTTTAAAGATAGTTGTCTGTTGTTCAACATGGGTGCTGGAAACTTAACTCTAGGCCTCTGAAGAGTAACAAAAGCTCTAACTACCGAGCCATCTCTCTCCAGCCCTATGGATAACCATGCTGTTAGTAACCAGGTTTCTTTTCTTTTTTTTTTTTTATTTTTTTTTTTTGTTTTTAGTAACCAGGTTTCTAAGTCATCATGTTTTGCTTTACCCTTGCTATTAACAAAACATAGACTTGACTCTTTTTCCTCTTCTTTTTTTCCTTCTTTCCTTTCTTTCTCCTTCTCTTTCTTCCACAGACCCCAAGCCCCCTCCCCATCTCTTTCTTGTTTTCTTACATGGTTTTGTGTAACTCAGGGTAACTTTGAACTTCCTGTGTAATCAAGGATGACACTGAACTGATCTTCTTGACTCTACATTCCAATTCTGAGATTACCAGTGTGCACCACCATGCCAAGTTTATGCAAATGCTGGGGATTAAACCCAAAGCCAGAGCTTCATGCATGCCAGTCAAATGCTTTCTCTACTAACTAAGCTACATCATCAGCTCCTCAGACATGACTATTATTTATTTATTTAGTGACTATTTTTTAAAAATATAAAATACAGATGTTTGTACTTCATTTATATTGCCATGATAATCTCCCTAACAAAAAGCAACATAAGAGAGGAAAAGAGGTCATATGGCTTACACGTTTCAGTTTGTTTGTTTGTTTGTTTATTTTGGAGAAGTCAAGATACCAACTCAGTCACATCACATTAATAGTCAAGAAAAAGCAAATAAACACATCTTTGCTTGCCTCCTTAGCTAGTTTTCCTCTCTTTCTCAATGTTCAGGAGCTCCTGCCTAGGAAACAATGGTGCCCACAAAGGGCTGGAACTCCCTATATCAAAGAAAAATCAAGACATTCCACCACAGCTCTGACTACAGGCTAACCAGATCTAGATTAATCCCCCTTTAAGTCTCTTCCCAGGTGACTCTAGGTTGCATCAAGTTAAAACTAACCAGCACCAATATCCAAAACGGTATTCCTCGTCACTACCCAACACACATTCCCTGCCACTACCAGACACACATTCCCTGTCTGTCACTACCTGACACATATTCCCTGTCGGTCACTAACTGACACACATTCTGTTACTACCAGACACACATTCCTTGTCACTACCCAACACACATTCCCTACAAGTTACTTAAATTTCTACATCAGTTTTTTTAAATAAAAAAAGACTAATTATACCCACTTCATATAATTTTATGAGAATTAAATAAAATCCATATGAAGTTTTTGGAATACTGCCTAGTATTCAATAAATGTTAAATACTGCTATTATTGACAGATATTATAGGAAACAGAAGGCTAAAAAGGCCAATAAAAGTTTAAAAAAAAACAGGTGGTAATATGAATACCTGGTGTGAGTCAGCTAAAACCTGAACTAGACATCCGGACAGGGAGCTGGGACAGGATGTCTGAGGAACACAGAGTAAGCGATGATGGATGTAATCTCTTACATAACTAATTCTGGCAGAATTCCATTTTTGTGTGATTGTTTTCTATCGCTGTGGCCTTGAGACTGGAGGCAAGCGTCCCTGACGTGACCTCTGCCTGTGCAGCTTGTGTACTCCATCCGCTAGTATCTGGGCAGGTGGGCTGTCATGACCTGATGTCTACAACATCTGCCTGCCTGTTACTTACTATGTGTGCTGGTGAATGCGTATGCTACATATGCTTAAAACTTCTCATATTCTCTTTGACCTCCTATTGTCCTGTGACCCTCTCTTGTCCTTGGTATCAACTATATGCATATAGTTCATATTAGCAGCTAATTTGAGGGAAAAAAAGGAACACATTAATGAACTGAAAAATGTAAAAAGGCAATCACTTCAAAACATGAAAGTACACTAAATTTAGATGGTGAATCATGTAACCACAGAAAGACTTTAAGGGTCAGTGAGATGGGTCAGTAGGCAGAAGCACTTGTTGCCTAGTATGACACCTAAGTTTAATCCCTAGGACCTACATGGTAGAATGAGACACCCAACTCCCACGAGTTGTCTTCTGAAGTCCACACACACCATGATACATTCTTCAAACTCCCAATTAATTAATTTTAAACAAGACCAAGCCAGCCATGATAGCACACAGCTGTATCTTAGAAATTAGGAGGCTAGCTGGGCAGTGGTGGCACACGCCTTTAATCCCAGCACTTGGGAGGCAGAGGCAGGTGGATTTCTGAGTTCAAGGCCAGCCTGGTCTACAGAGTGAGTTCCAGGATAGCCAGGGCTACACAGAGAAACCCTGTCTCAATAAACAAAAAGAAAAAAACAAACAAAAAACAAAAACAAAAAAAGTAATTAGGAGGCTAAAGTAGGAGGACCCTGAGTTTAAGGCAAATCCTGCCCATAGAGTCAGTTTAAAATCATCTTGTGCTACTCAGTGAAACCATGTTTTAAAAAGATAAATAACAACAAAAATATAGTTTAAAGAAAGGGTAACATATCTTTAGGTCTAAGTCAAATATTGAAGAGCACTGGAGAAACAGGAAAAGTCTTCTGAAGAGAAGAGACACTTAGGCCTGGGTTTATGAATTTAACTCAATGGCATGTAAGTATTGTGAAGGACAATAAAGAATGCAAATGTCAAAATAAAGTCTGCTGGATATGAAAGGAAACTGAGAGCCAACAGTTCAGCCAGTTTGACACTTGGAGGTGACTGCACTGTGTGTGTGTGTGTGCAGGGGACAGGCAGTGTCGAGGACAATGGTCTCCCACGGCAGCTCTGACTCCCGTCTTCTCTTTCTTAGCTCCTACTCCTTCAGCCCATTCCTACTCCATCTCCAGGGGAAGGAGCAATGCCATGCTGACAGAAAGAGAAAGCACTCATCCTCTTCTTCAACTATGCTTACAACTTTAACATAGTGGCTGAGACTCAGAGAGAGAGAGTGGAGATCTGAAATGTCCGAGGAAGAAAAGATGAAAAGGGAAGGAACTTGGAAGGATTTATACTGTAACCCACAATCTATTTGAGATTAAATTTATGCAAAATGACAACTAATAAAGTTGTTTTTTAAAAAATAGATGATATAACAAATTTCATTTGTATAGCATACATAAGAATTCTGTCATTTGTTTATTCAGTATTTACTCTAACTAGGTATTTTGATCAAAACTAAAAGATTTTAAGACACATTTTCAAGGTAGCATACCTGCAATTGCATGACCACGTAGTTGAAACGATCATTTCTCCCACAGCCAATAAATCTACAAACATGGTCTTTCCCTGGATGAAAAGAGAAAGAAAATAGTGGAAAAAGATGTACTATAGTCTCTCTTTTTAAAGGTTAATAAAATGGATTTCTGTGTTATATTTTATGACTTAATATAGACTATATGAAATATGTTGAGATTGTAAAAAACAGAAAATTTATATTATTTATTTTTATCCACCTATTGCCAGGTTCTCCTCTGCTCCTTGCATACTCAAATAAATGGTAAATGAGTAAGTAGAGAAGTAAATTAATAAGGGAATAAAGGTGAGTTATCCAGAAAGGAAAATATTTAAAAAGTCACTTAAAATTACCCTGAGCAGACGCAGTCAGGGCTATGTTTAATATACTTATTTGACACACATTATGACACACACTGTTTACATTACTGCAGCAATTCCGTGATTGTTCTTGCTCTCACTGATTTGGATCAGCCCACTGCTTTTCAACCCAAGCTTAACATGTGAAATCCAAGGAAATACTGGTTGAGATATATAGACGGACTGAGACTTGTGCCAGTCTCCTGATTTTAAAAAGTATACTTCCATCCCAAAAGGCAACCAAACCCAGGAAGTTACTGGGCAGAGAAGACAATTGGCTCAACACAGAGGGAGGAGGGGGAGCAGATGCAGACAGTGCTGGGGCACTACATGGAGTTTTGCGTTCCATGGAGAAGAATCTCAACTGTGTGTATAGGTCAGGGTTTCCCACTGTGGCTACTCATCAAACCCACCCAGGAAACAAAGATTCCCAAATGCAACACTGGCTTACAATCTCTATAAGAAAGATACAACTTTTCAAAATTCTATAAATGAGCTGAAGGCAGGGCAGAGACAGAAAAGTTTAAGGCCAGCCTCCACTACTTGAGTTCAAAGCCAACGGAGTTAGTATTCTGTCTAAATTCCACCTCCACAGTTATCTGGCAACACCCAGGTATGTTCCTCCACACAGTTACCTGGCAACAGCCAGGTAGGCGTGCCCACTATAAAAGGGGCTGCCTGCCTCCTCCTCTCTGTCTTCTCTAGCTCCTCTCTGTCCCCTCGCCTCTTTCCCCTTCCCTTCCCTCTCTCTCCACGTGGTCATGGCCGGCCTCTACTTCTCTTCTTTCTCCGCCATCTTCTTCTGTTTCCCCCCACCTTTGCTCTCTGCCCTGAATAAACCCCCTCCCCTTTGGAACCGTTTGGTCTGGTATTGTCTGTTCTAAGCTGCACACCAAAGTCTAACACCTGGGCTAAATAATGAGAGTCTAACTCAGAAGAGGAGAATAAAAGCTATGTGAAAATAAAGAAGAAATTTTAAAATATAAGTCTGCAACTTAGAATATAAATCAGCATAAACAAAAGTCAAGAAAAAAACCTTCAAGATTACCCTGACAGGTATTCTCAGAAAAATTTTGAGACCAGGTTATAACAGAAATGGCGAATTCTATAGAAAAGTTCAGGAGATAATCAGTGGATAAGTGTGCTTGCTGTGCATGCATGAAGACCTGAATTTAGATCCTAAGTACCCACATTAAAATCCAGATGTGGCTATGCACACCTGTATGTGACTCAAGTGCTGGATAGGCGGAGACAGGAAGCCTGACTTTCGTGGGTTTTTTTTTGTTTGTTTGTTTGTTTTTTGAGACAGGGTTTCTCTGTGTAGCCTTGGCTGTCCTGGAACTCACTCTGTAGACCAGGCTGGCCTCGAACTCAGAAATCCACCTGCCTCTGCCTCCCAAGTGCTGGGGATGAAAGGCATGCGCCACCACCGCCCAGCGAAGCCTGACTTTCATGGTCAGGTTTTTGTAAAGCAGTGAGGCAAAGAGCAATAAGGGGGATGACCAATTTCTTCTGCTGATCTATTTACAGTGTGCACACACACACACACACACACACGCACACACACAAGCATTGGTTACTCATATAAATAATTAGGCAGTCACTAGAGAAGAAGGGGTACAGAAGCCAATTTATAAAGAGTAAATAAGGCCGGCAGTGGTGGCGCACGCCTTTCATCTCAGCACTTGGGAGGCAGAGGCAGGTGGATTTCTGAGTTCAAGGCCAGCCTGGTCTACAGAGTTCCAGGACAGCCAGGACTACACAGAGAAACCCTGTCTTGAAAAACCAAACCAAAAAAAAGTAAATAAAAATGAGACACTGAGAGTGGACAATCCTTGAAGCTAGCTTGTAAAAATAAAAAGAGAAAACACTACAGGCTAAAAGATAAAAAAGATTAAAATAAGTTTCAAAAGTAATCTGTCCACTTAGAATAAAATACAGCCAAGACTCACTTTGGCCAGCCGTTTGGTTTTTAGACACAGGGGTTTTGTTAGGATGGCCTTGAAATCTGCATTATCCTGCTTTAGATTCTTTTTCCTCTTCTGTTTTTTTTTTCTTTTTTGGAATTTCAAGCCTGTTAATTTGTTTGTTTTGTTGTTCTGTTTTCAATCTGGGTTATCAGTTACTACACTGATGATGAATTAGCAACCTTTCCCTCAACTTCAGTCACACAAAAAAGTTTTAATTAGTCAATTTGTTGTCAATACTTTGAGAATCTTCGTTCAAAGCTGGACATACACTGAAGTGAATATAGCACTTGCAAGCATGCATCAAACCTTAACACTGTAAAAGAACAAAATGAAACATGAATGCTGGGATTAAAGGCGTGCGCCACCACCGCCCGGCTTCCCTTTTTCTTTCTTTCTTTTTTTTTTTTTTTTTCGAGACAGGGTTTCTCTGTATAGCCCTGGCTGTCCTGGAACTCACTCTGTAGACCAGGCTGACCTCGAACTCAGAAATCCACCTGCCTCTGCCTCCCAAGTGCTGGGATTAAAGGCGTGCGCCACCACCACCCGGCTTATTTCTATTTATTTATTTATTTACTTATTTATTTATTTATTTTGGTTTTTCGAGACAGGGTTTCTCTGTGTAGCTCTGGCTGTCCTGGAACTCAGAAATCCACCTGCCTCTGCCTCCCAAGTGCTGGGATTAAAGGCATGCACCACCAATGCCCAGCTTTTTTATTTCTTCTAAAGACAGGTGTTAATCCTGCCTCAGTCTCCACATTGTAGGATTACAGGTATGGACTACTGTGCCAGCTTTTTGCATCATGTACATTACATCAAAGACATTTCAATCATATAAAAACAAAAGACAATGCTAGATTTAATTCCTTTTAGAATGGTCCTCTAAAATACCTATATTATACAAAAACACTTTGTCTCTTGCTAATAAAATTACCCCGGTGTTTTTGTTGTTGCTGTTGTTTTGGTTTGGATTTTTGATGTTGTTGTAGTTGCTGCTGCTGCTGCTGCTGTTGTTGCTGTTGTTTCTTATGACAATGTTTCTCTGTGTAGTCTATGGCCTCCAACTCAAGAGATCCATTTGCCTCTGCCAGTCTGAGCTGGGAGCTGATGCGGTGCCACAGAGCTCCATACCCAAATACGCTGGGAGAGAGCTGGTCTCCCAGGAGTGCCGATAAGCACCAATAAGACCAAGACTTCTGCTCAAATTACTGACCCAAGAGGGAGCCACCCAGAGCCATCAGTACACAAGAACCATGGAACAGCCAGGGACAGGATCCCTCCAGTTTCCGTCTGCACTCTGGAGCTGACCCTGTGCCACAGCTCTCCATAACCAATTCCTCCCGGAGAGAACTGGTCTCCCAGGAGTACTGACACACAGGCTTTTAGGAGGGACAAGCCACAGTCAGAGACAGCAAGACCAGCTTAACACCAGAGATAACCAGATGGCAAGAGGCAAGGGCAAGAACATAAGCAACAGAAACCAAGGCTACTTGGCATCATCAGAACCCAGTTCTTCTCCCACCACAGTGAACCATGGATACCTCAACACACCAGAAAAGCAAGACTCTGATTTTTTTTTTTTTTTTAGTTTTTTTTCCAGACAGGGTTTCTCTGTGTAACACTAGCTGCCCTGGAACTCACTCTGTAGATCAGGCTGGCCTTAAACTCAGAAATCCACCTGCCCCTGCCTCCCAAGTGCTGGGATTAAAGGCATGCACCACCAATGCCCTGCAAGACTCTGATTTAAAATCACATCTCATGATGATAATACAGGACTTCTGGTAGAAGACCTTAAAGAGGAAACAAAAGAATCCCTTAAAGAATTACAAGAAAACACAAGCAAACAGGTGAAGGAATTGAACAAAACCATCTAGGATCTAAAAATGGAAGTAGAAACAATAAAGAAATCACAAAGGGAGACAATCCTGGAGACAAAAAACCTAGGGAAGAGATCAGGAGTCCTAGATGCAAGCATCACCAACAGAATACAAGATATAGAAGAGAGAATCTCATGTGCAGAAGATACCAGAGAAAACATTGACACAACAATAAGAAAACGCACAATGAGAAAAGTTCCTTACCTAAATCATCCAGGAAATCCAGGACACAATGAGAAGACCAAACCTAAGGATAATAGGTATAAAAGAGTCCCAACTTACAGGCCCAGTAAATATCTTCAACAAAATTATAGAAGAAAACTTCCCTAACCTAAAGAAAGAGATGCCCATAAATATACAAGAAGCCTACAGAACTCCAAATAGACTGAACCAGAAAAGAAATTCCTCCTGTCACATAATAGTCAAAATACCAAATACACAAAACAAAGAAAGAATATTAAAAGCAGTAAGGGAAAAAGGTCAAGTAACATATAAAGGTAGACTATTTGCCTCTGCCTCACTAGCACTGGGATTAGAGGCAGGCACCACCACTGCCTAGCCCACCCTGATGTTTGTTTGTATGCTGTTTAGCAGTACTGGGGATTGAACCAACTATGTTGTACATTCTAGGCAAGTATCCTGTCCCCAGCCTTTTATTTCACTTTTAAAGTTGAGGCAATCTCACTGAACTGCCAAAGAGCTCAGTGAACTTCTGACCCTCCTGTCTGCCTCAAGAGTGACAAGATTATAGGCTAGCATTATACAGTGTTTGTTTGCTTGTTTTTTGTTTTTCGAGACAGGGTTTCTCTGTGTAGCCCTGGCTGTCCTGGAACTCACTCTGTAGACCAGG